TCAAACTGTGAGATTTTTCCCAATTGCTTTTTTTGCTTCCACAGTTTCAAGGACTCATTCTGACAGTGAAAGTGAATATTCTGCTTCCAACTCAGAGGACGATGAAGGGGTTGCACAGGAATATGAAGAGGACACTAATGTAGTCGTACTCAGCCAAAAGGTTGAAGCTCAGAATAGAATAGTTTCAGCTCCTGTTTGCAAAGAAACGCCTTCTAAGAAAATGAAAAGAGATAAAACAGTAAGTGAAGAGACTTGAACCTTAGAGGAAAATTGTGTAAGACCTCAAAGGCAGACTACCCTAAGAGAAGAGATCCATGTGAGGAATCAAAATAATTTTTTTCCACACTTTTCTATATTTTCTCAGCCTTACACATAAATTTCCACATATATTTGTTTCTATTTCTGGGCTTTCTATTCTGGCTTGTCTACATATTCGTGAGTCAATACTACAGTATATGCTAAAAGTGACATCTCAATTCAGTTGTATAAAAAATGAACTTTTAAATTTTTTTTTTTTCTGAGACAGAGTCTCACTCCTCAGCCTGGGTAGAGTGCAGTGGCATCATCATAGCTCACTGCAACCTCAAACTTCTGGGCTCACGTGATCCTCCTACCTCAGCCTCCCGAGTAGCTGAGACTATAGGCGCATGCCACCACGCCCAGCTAATTTTTTCTATTTTTGGGAGAGACGGGGTCTCGCTCTTGCTCATGCTGGTCTCAGACTCCTGACATCAAGCATTCCTCCCGCCTTGGCCTCCCCGAGTGCTAGGATTACAAGACTGAGCCACGACACCCAGCATTAAATAAATATTGATTGGACAGTTGGAAACATGAGTTCTCAGTGTATCCCTTTTTATATAGTTTTGTTTTTATAACATTGTTGATGTATTCAAGTCAGTGTAAGTAATAAATGATGTGGCTTCAGATCCATGTTGAGTTGTTTGGAAGAAGACTGCAGACACCCTAGCTTGAGAAAGGCTAATTATCCTGGTCCTCTTGTATAGGTTCAGAGCAACCTAGGAACCTACTGCTTAAATAGCTTTCTGCCCCTTCCTTACCACCCTAGAGGTTAGTCCTGCCCAAAATCAGAAGAGCAAGTAGTGAACCATTTTACTGGAATAGTAGGCAAGTCTTTTGTTTTTACCTTGCAGTTGATTTCCTCATTTTCGTAGTACTTCAACTGTACTAATATTTAAGGATTTGCTAAGACTATTTGAGGATCCTGATATGTAAAACCATCTTTTTTTTTTTTTTTTTTTTTTACTCTAAATGGAAATTACATATTGTAACTTAGGAATCCTTTTCAGGAACAGACTACTTCATTTAGTTGTTCCTCCCTCCCTCACTCCCTCCCTCCTTTCTTTTTTCTTTCTTTCTTTCTTTTCTTTCTTCTTTTCTTCCTCCCTTCCCTCCCCTCCCCTCCCCTTCCCTTCTTTCTTTCCTTCCCTCCCTTCCTTCCTTCTTTTCTTTTCTTTCTCACTCTGTCACCCAGGCTGTAGTGCAGTGGCACAATCACTATAACCTCAAATTCCTGGGCTCAAGTGGTCCTCCTGCCTCAGCCTCCTGAGTAGCTGGGACTACAGGTGTGCACCACCACATCTGGCTAATTTTTCTGTTTTTTGTAGAGATGGGGTCTTACTCTTGCTCAGGCTGGTCTCAAACTCCTGGCCTTAAGCAATCTTCCCACCTCAGCCTCCCAAAGAGCTAGGATTACAGATGTTAGCTACTACACCTGGCCAAGAATCTCACATGTCCTGTTTTACACTAATATCACTGTCTAGTTTCTATATAAGACAAATATCTGAAATTGCTAAGAACTGACTTTTTACTCTGTTCACTTTTAGAGTGACTTAGTAGAAGAATATTTCGAAGCTCACAGCAGTTCAAAAGTTTTAACCTCTGATAGAACACTGCAGAAGCTAAAGAGAGCTAAACTGGATCAGGTATGTTGCAAGAAACATTACTTCTAACATTTTCTTACCGTGTCCTGAAAGGTACACTATATAAGCAACAAATCTGAAGAATACGTGTACACAAACAGAAGTATTGTCCTGATCAAATGAAAGACAAATTAATGTGATGTGATTATTACATATCTATTTTATTATATAAATGGTAAATAATTCTCTAGATTAGAATTCTTTTTGACATACTATATACATTTTTTTCCTCTTATTTATCATTTGTTCACAATCCATAATAAGCATCAGGGTCATAGTTCCTTGATACCCACGTACCATTCGTCTCTGTTATTTATTTAACCCACATATTCATTGAACCTCACACTGGTCATAAAAAATGATTGCAACCTGACTTTTTCTCAGTTACAAATTTTGCAAAAAGTAGAGGCTATCCTGCTTGATGATATTTTGGAAAACCTGCCTGGCATGATAGGGTAACAAGGTTACTATGTTCCAGTAGCTCATTTTACAAAAAATACCATACAGTTATACTTGTGGTTTTGACTGATAGCTCTCTAAGAAAGGAGATAGAACCATCTGAGTGAGAAAATCTTTCAGTCAGTAGTATATGGGGTTGATGATCTAACTCCAGAAGAGATTATTATTGGATTAAAGACCATCAAGATTTTATTATACTCTGTAAATCAGAATTTAGTGAATTTTCTACAGTGTACAGGGCTTTTGGTAAAGTTTTTGAGCTGTAGAAAAGAGAGAGGAGAATATGGGATAAGGTTCTGTGACGTGAAAAACATGGTACTGCATGTTTTTTTGTCACCTGCCTCACTGCTATTGAGACTAAGATCAGAAACTAGGTGAAAATAAGTGTCAAGAAGCCAAGTTATTCCTGGTAATAGATGGCACTAACATTTGCTTAGAGTTTATATTTTTATATAAGCAACATGGGAGAAGGACAAATGAATCTAGTGTCAAAATAGGACCTCACAGGACTTAGGGGCAAAAAGATCTATAGGGGGATGAAAGAAACACCTGTTAATGAGGGAAAGGAAAACCTTTCATTGATTGTAGATATAGCATAGCTAACCAGTACAATCTCAATAGCACGTAACCATAAGCATTTATTTCTCATATCTGAGGGTCAGCTGGGGGTTGGCTGCTCCAGGCTTTACCCCATGTCTCTCTTCCTCACTGGGCCAGCCGGCTAACTGAGACATGTTCTTCTCACGACAGTGGCAGAGGCATAAGAGAAAAAGTGGAACAACACATGACCTCTTAAAGCCTAGGCTCAAAACTGGCAGTGTCACTTCTGCCTCATTCTAGTAGCGACAGCAAATCGCATGGCTGGAGACAAAGTCAAAGGGCAGGGAATTATACTCCACCCATTTAGTGGGAGGAACTGCAAAGTCATGTAACAAAGAGTATGGATACAGAGAGAGGGTAAGTATTGGGGGCAATAGTGCAATTCTCTGTGAGTATTAAAGTTTGAAATGAAAGTGCATAGATGAGATAGCATTCCAGAGTTAACACTGAAGTCTGAATATGCTCAGATAATCCAGTATAACTGACTACTGGGATAAGAGATTTTTTTTAGCTACCTACTTAACAGTTTTACTTAGTGGTAGTCCTGTTTCTCTTTAAATATGTAGATAAATAAACACTGTACAGGCCAGAGTGCCTGGAATATTGACTGCAACTGTAATCTTCAGCATTAAAAGAACATTTTACTTGAAAGGTAGAATCATGAAAATATGGTAGTGCCAGGGTGAAGGTACATATACAGCTTTGTGTTGGAGTTTTCATTTCAAAAAATGAACTGTTTGGTGCACCAGCATGAATTTCCAAGTTTTGGTTTCAGAGCAATGCACTTTCCTGAGTTTATTATTGTTTTTAAAATTTAGCCGTACTTATTAAAAATAAAGGATTTGTTAGAGATAGATTTTGGAAGAGGAGCAGTGATAAGTTTATTTTACTAATGATAATGGTAAGTAAATTATAAAGAACCTTTAATGTTTTCTGAGCATTAATATTGAACTGTTACCTTAAACTTTTATATTTTTTTCAAATCCATAGGTGGAGGGTTTTTTTGTTGGTGTTTGTGTGTGTGTGTGTGTGTGTGTGTGTGTGTGTGGTTTTTTGTTTTTTGTTTTTTGTTTTTGAGACGGAGTCTTGCTCTGTTGCCCCAGATAACAGTGCAGTGGTGTCATCATAGCTCACTGCAACCTCAAACTCCTAGGCTCAAGTGATCCTGCTGCCTCAGCCTCCCGAGTAGCTGGGACTGGACTATAGTTGCTCACCACCATACCCGGCTAATTTTTTCTATTTTTAGTAGAGACAGGGTCTTGCTTTTGCTCAGACTAGTCTTGGAACTCCTAACCTCAAATGATCCTCTTGCCTCAGCCTCCCAGAGTGCTAAGATTACAGGTGTGAGCCACCACACCCTGCCTGAAATCCACAGGTTTTTAAAAGTCTGTCTGGATTTATTGTTAAAGCTGGGAGGTAGATTTAATCATTTTATAGTAATGAAATTACTGTTATAGAAATTAAAGCCTTATATTTGAAATTTACAATCATTTAAATGGTTCTAGACAAAACTTAGCAAATTCTTTACTGTTATTACATATTTGTACTATAAAGAATGTTAAAATGTTTTAAGAAAACAAGTATTTAAATCATTTTTGAAGTATTTTGTATATTCAGTTGATACAATCATTGCTAAACCTAATTAAAGTAATATTTCCTCCAATAGCTTCTTCTAACCTCAACTTCAAAGGAAATAGTTTTAATTTGGATTGATTTGATGTGTGTGGTTTGAAAATAATTTTTCCCCTCCTCTTCCTTTTTTTTAAGCAAACGTTGCATAACTTATTGAGCAAGGTTTCTCCTTCCTTTTCTGCTGAACTTAAACACCTAAATCAACAATATGAAAAATTATTTCATAAATGGATGCTGCAGCTACAGTGAGTATTATTATAAACCCTTGTAAATTAAATATTTTTTAAATCAAAGTAATTTAACATATTTAACTTTCTTTTCACAATGAGCTTGATATACTTCTATATAAAAATAGAGAAATAGATGTTTTCCATATTTTATGACTCAAATATAGAAATGTCATTGTATGACTCTTCTCAGAAACTTTAGTTTTTAAGAAATTTGTGTTTTTAAGTTTATCAGACTTGACAGATATTGATAAAAATAAATAGCATTTCTTAGAATTGGATGTTATTACTCATAAAAATATTTGAAAATTTAATTTGTCAAGATTAATAAATATATCAATTATATTTTCAGTTTTCCACAGCATAGTTCCTTAAATGAAAGGTTATATATTTCTTTAATTTGACCTTACATGCATGTACCATAACCTTTCAGAATTTTATGAGTAGATTTGTTCTATAAACATCATTTTGCCATTTCAACATTATTTCTTTTTTTTTTTTTTTTTTTGAGACAGAGTCTCACTGTGTTGCCTGGGCTAGAGTGCCGTGGCGTCAGCCTAGCTCACAGCAACCTCCAACTCCTGGGCTCAAGCGATCCTCCTGCCTCAGCCTCCCAAGTAGCTGGGACTACAGGCATGTGTCACCATGCCCAGCTAATTTTTTCTATATATTCTTAGTTGTCTGATTAATTTCTTTCTATTTTTAGTAGAGACGGGGTCTCGCTCTTGCTCAGGCTGGTTTCAAACTCCTGAGCTCAAACAATCCGCCCGCCTTGGCCTCCCAGAGTGCTAGGATTACAGACGTGAGCCACCGCACCCGGCCTCAACATTATTTCTTAGAATATTTTTTCAATTTTATCATTTTTCTGATGCCTCAGGTAAAATTTTAAAGTTCCATTAAAATACCTAACAGAGTGATTAAAATCAAAACATAGTATTTTTTTAAACTATAATTGCTTTTTTTTGTAATTTAAAAAAAATTTTTTTAGAGACAGGTCTCACTATGTTGCCCAGGCTGGTCTTGAACTCCTTGCCTCACATGATCCTCCTGGCTCTGCCTCTCAAAGCACTGAGATTACCGGTGTGAGCCACTTTGCCCAGCCATTAAACTATAATTGCTTTTATATTTGTATTTAAAATATCTTAACATAAGGAAGTGCTTAAAATGTACTCACTAATGTAAATACACACACACACACACACACACACACACACATATTGTCACTGGGGTAAATAAGAAGGCAGGTAAGCAGTAAGAACATAGAGAAATTGTCACAATTGCCCTCAGTTGATCCTGGTTTTCTTTTGCCAATAATATGTCCAAGGGTTATGCTAAGAAGAGAATGATTATCTTCCATGCAAGGACCTCAGCTTCTCTCAATAACTCTTTATGGGTCTGTGCATTGTAAATTTATAAAGGAGCTCTTTGCTCTAATCCCATCCCCCAGCTGATCAGTTCTTCATCTTCCAGTGTGTCAACTGAGATAACTTTGATTTGCTCTGCTTCCCAGATTAGGCCTTATATATAGTCAGCTACTTCAGAATGCTAGCTCTCAGAATTCCCTTGCCTCTTTCTTTCTGATGCTTCAACGTTGCTAATTTCAACCTTTGTGGGTTATCTCTTTTCTGTTCTTCTATTTCTAGGCTATGCTGCATTGTCAGAGAGCATCACATAAATACTATTTCCTTCATAAACAGTCATGGAGTTGGACTTTAGCTTGACCCCGTAGTGCTTGGTGTTCTGGGTGGTCTCTTTCATTGTCTTGGCTTCAATTACTTTTTGTATATGAATGACTCCCATGACTGTTATCTCCAACCCAGACCTCACACCTCAGCAGCAGACTTGGATATCTGAATGAATATTGGAAGTTTCACTTGGATGTGTTGTAAATAATTCAGCATACATAAAATTTTTACTCATCTTAAGCCAATTATTTCCACCTGACTCTGCTAATGCAGAACAGAATATCAGTCACCCCATTCATATAGTTGCACTAGGGCAGAAAACTGAATCATTCTTAAATATTCCATTTCCCTCACCCTCCACATCTAATCCATCTCTAAATCCTATTGATTGACCTACTGTAAAGCTCTTGACACCTTACATTTTTCCCCATGGCAGCTAAGTTCTTCACCTTGGGCAATTTTTTTTTTTTGGACAGAGTCTCACTCTGTTGCCCGGGCTACAATGAGTGCCGTGGCGTCAGCCCAGCTCACAGCAACCTCAAATTCCTGGGCTCAAGCAATCCTTCTGCCTCAGCCTCCCGAGCAGCTGGGACCACAGGCATGTGCCACCATGCCCGCCTAATTTTTTCTATATATTTTCAGTTGTCCGATTAATTTCTTTCTGTTTTTAGTAGAGACGGGGTCTCGCTCTTGCTCAGGCTGGCTTCAAACTCCTGAGCTCAAACAATCCGCCCACTTCGGCCTCCCAGAGTGCTAGGATCACAGGCGTGAGCCACCGCGCCCGGCCACCTCGGGCAGTTTTGTTCCTCCTCCCTATCCATTATGATCTTTCTGAAAAGATCCTGTTACTTTCCTACTTAAAACTTTTCTGTGAACACTTTATTAGTTACTTTTACATGCTCATTGCCCTTGGAATAAAGTCTAATTAACATCTTAGTATGACTTAATAAGATCTTTGTTACCTGGCCACTGCTTACTTTTCTAATTCAATCCGTCAATTTAAACTTTGCTTCAGCCTGTAGAACTGTTTAGTGCTCTTTATTGGGAATGGTCTCCCTTGCCTCCAGCCATCTTGTCACTTGAATGGTAATAGGAACTGGGGAGAAAGCTGCTGAAGAAGTGGAAACTATAAACTTGATACACAAATAATGAAATTGTGCCTTTACCTTGTATAATTTGGGAATCGATAATTCAGTTATTTAATGATCCCAGTTCTTCCTGTATTCTTTATAAGGTTATTTTAAGGAAATTGGTTGATAATAAAATTGTCAATAAGAGACATAAACTTTAATTTCATGAATACTGTCTTTCCTAACAGCCTTGGGTTCAACATTGTGCTTTATGGTTTGGGTTCTAAGAGAGATTTACTAGAAAGGTTTCGAACCACCATGCTGCAAGATTCCATTCATGTTGTCATCAATGGCTTCTTTCCTGGAATCAGTGTAAAATCCGTAAGTTTCAAAAATGTTAAAGGGAACAGCATTATATTTCCTGCCAATCTATACTCCCACACTAATGAGGATGCTATTCCATATCCTAGAGCATTAAATGTAAAGGATTTTTGTTTTAGCCTTCACACTAGTAGGATTAAATAGTGCTTAGGATCATGTGTTTTGACTCAGAAGGATCTACCTTTGAAACCCCATCTTTGAATTTCCTACTTTGTAACTGACAGGTATTAAAATGTAGGAAAATGTTAGCTTTGTCTACTACAGCAAATATTAACTATCAACGGTACTTCTCTGAAGGACAGGATTTGGGGATCTTCAATTTTATTGTACTTCTATGTCATTTTGGTATTCTAAAAATAATAAAAAATATAAGTAATAGTTTGAGTTCCACAGTACATTTATCATAGATCATTTTTGTTTTAAATGCTCGTATCTCTTCATCATTTAAAAATTAACGCTTTGGGGTACTGGATATTAACCAACATAGTATTCCTTTTATAAGTATGCTTAGTGTAAAGGATTGATTTGCTAGTTGTGTTTGTCCTGTATAACAGAATAAATTGTAATTAATGTGATACCTCTTGCACTTTTATGATATAGGTCCTGAATTCTATAACAGAAGAAGTCCTCAATTATATGGGTACTTTCCGAAGTATACTGGATCAACTAGATTGGATAATAAACAAATTTAAAGAAGGTAACTTGAAATAGACACTCTGTAGTTTTAGGGTGAAGTTACTTATTCATGTATTTGTATACACAAAAAGGATTATTTTAATAATGGCACTTGTCTCAGTGCTGATTTAGATTTTTCTAAAATAATTTGTTCTTTTCCTATGAACTTTTTTTTTAATCTCATGTAATTTATTAAATATTGTACAGAAAGTGAAAAACAATGGTTGTGTGGGTATCATCATAACATTGAAAATTCATAAGTTGAAGTAATGTCATTTAGGGACCATCTGTATTTTACAAACAGTAAATTACTGTTTATTAAAAGGATTTGTTCTGTAAAATTTGGGTTCAGTCAAAAGGCCCCACTCAGGATGCAGAAGGTCACATGCGGTCCCAAGGCCACAGGTTCCCCATCCCATCTGAATCCTATCTCCACAACTACTTACTCTACCGTTACTTTCTTCATGGCCCCGGGCAATTCACTTTCTCTCTCTAAGCTTCAGTTTTCTTTTTCTTTTTTTTAAATTAATTAAGATGCTATGTACAGAATTTTTGTTATAAGTGAGCCCATATGTTACCTTTGATCATTTTGCTTTTTAGAAACTTAAAAAATTTAGTTTCAATACGTGTTCTGTATTCTACAATGATCCAATTATGGCCATAAGATTTCTGTGGATTTCCAGGGGACTTTCTCTAGCTTCAATTTCCTGTCACACATTCTTTTCTTTCCCCTATAATACATCATATAAAAGTTCTTTCTTGGTCATGGCGGCATCCACCCAAATATAGATCCCTGTCATTGCCTGGATTTCTTCACTCTCTTAAGCTCCTAAAAAGGCATACACTTATTCACGCATGTTTTGTTTTGTTTTGTTTTTAATTTCAGAATATTCTGGGGAAGCTTCAGTTTTCTTAACTGCAAAATTGAGCTAATAATAGTAGTAACCTCATAGATTTGTTCTGAGGATTAATGAGACAATGTACATAAGCCAAGTCTCATTTCATTTCCAAGTGACAGAATCCCAAATCGAACTGACTTTAAGCATAAAAAAGAATTTATTGCCTCATATAACTGTAAAGAACAGGAGAAATAGCTTTAGGCACAGCTGAATCCAGGGGTTCTAATGATGTCATCAGAAGCAACTCCCTAGACTCTATTTTATTTTTCTCTGGGTCCATTCTCAAACAGGCCACGCCAAATATTTTTTCACCAAAACTACAATCCTAGTCTAAATCACCATCTTCTCTACTTCAGTAATGCAACAGCCTCCTAACCTGTCTCCCGTCTGCCTCCATCCCCATCCCTCATCCCTAGTCTCATCACAGAGTGATGTTTTACAAATGTGAATCAGGTCATATGACTCCTCTGCTCAAAACCTTCCAAAAGCTTCTCAGAGTAAAATCTAAACCCTTCTCATGACTCGAGGGGCCCTTCAAGATCTGGCCTCTGCCTGTTCTACCTGACCTCATTCCTGCTTTCTAACCTCTTCTTTCACTTTACTGCACTAGGCTTCTTCCTCTTCTTCCTCATGCTGGGGGCGTTCCCTCTGCGAGGAACTCATCCCTCTGGCTTGTTCCATCACTTCATTCAACACTCAATTCCCCTTGATCTCATTTCTCCTCAGCTTCCATCCTCACAACTTCAAGTCCAGCAGGAAAAACAGAGCTTTCTTGCCCAACAGTTCGAACATAAGTCCAGGGCTCTTCTATGAACTTTTTCTGTGAACTTCATTTAACTAAAAGGAAAGAAAGAGTTACTCCTCCTGTCTTAAATTTGTATAGCCAAAAGCCTCTTACTTCAGAATAATTTTCAGGTTTTGTTTTGCCAGTGGGAAGTGCTTCCAGCTGAGTGGTACATCTTTGATATTTTTATATTGTTTAACATGTTTATAAAACATTCTTATTTCCTTATACTGAGTAAATATCACTACATTGGAATAATTTCATATACTAAGATGGAATGGGGAAAAGACTACTTTTTTGTTATTCTTTTGGTATGAATGTTTTGGTTATGTAAACATATCAGAAAATTGGAAATAATAATATTCAGTCTATAACAATTATCATTTAGTCATTGCTTAAGAATTAAAAGGAGTAACTGATCATGCTTAATTAGTTTGATAGATAGTTTTTGTTTAGAGTGATAATAATCCTAGCTCCCTTTCCATAGCACTTTCATTTACCTTGTCAGTATCCCGGTGCATTCTTAAGTTTTTCCTTACTGTTCTTTCCTAGCTGAAATGTTTTGTGTCCCAAATTACTTCCTTTCAGGCTTCTAAGCCCATTTTATCGATAGTCCTTTTTTATATGCATGGACAATATACATTCTTATTACCAACTCTACACATTTGAAACAAGTACAGTTGATTCTCATGATTCACAAATTCTATAATTCCAAATTCAGCTACTCACTAACATTTATTTGTAATCCCAAAATCAATCTTCTTAGGACTTTCACAGTCATGTGTGGACATGCAGAGTGGCAAAAAATTTTAATCGCCCACTGCACATATTCCCAGCTGAGGTCAAACAAGGCAATAATACTCTGCCTTCTTATTTCAGCTCTCAGACTGTAAAACAAGTGTCTTTGTTTGCATTACTTAATGCTACATTTTCCAAGCTTTTGTGTTTTTTGTTAGTGATTTGGCTATTAAAATGGCCCCAAGTATAGTACTAAAGTACTGTCCAGTGTTCCCAAGCACAAGAAGGCTATGGTGTGCCTTGTGGAAAAAACACCTGTGTTACATAAACTTCATTCAGGTATAAGTTACAGTGCTGTTGACTGTGAGTTCAGTGTTAAAGGATCAACAATGTGTATTAAAAATAAATGTGTCTTTAACAGAAACACACATAAAACAAAATTATATATTGATCAGTTAATAATAATGTTCTCACAGGAACCTAACCTTGTATTTCCTCTAGGAGCAGTGGTTCAGTATTCACTAATTCAGTGTTTGCAGCAACTTTATAGAACATAGTGAGAGTCAAATATATATATTTCACTGAACCCAAAAACTAATTGCATATATGAACATTCCTTGTTCATTGATTATATAGGCATATAGTGAATCACTAGCACGTTTTTCATATGATAAACAAATCTGCTTAGTTTGTTTTCAGTTCTTTCAACCTTATTATTTAATTAAAAATCAATTGCTGGCTGGGCGCGGTGGCTCACGCCTGTAATCCTAGCTCTCTGAGAGGCCGAGGCGGACAGATTGTTTGAACTCAGGAGTTCGAAACCAGCCTGAGCATGAGCGAGACCCTGTCTCTACTAAAAATAGAAAGAAATTAATTGGACAACTAAAAATATATAGAAAAAACTAGCCGGGCATGGTGGCACATGCCCGTAGTCCCAGCTACTCGGGAGGCTGAGGCAGGAGGATCGCTTGAGCCCAGGAGTTTGAGGTTGCTGTGAGCTAGGCTGACGCCACGGCACTCAAGCCAGGGCAACACAGTGAGACTCTGTTTCAAAAAAAAAATCAATTGCTGTAGTATTTTACCCCTATAATTTTGGCTTATTTTTCTGGACTCTCTTTAGTTTTTAATGTCCATTTTCATAATTAATATGTTCTACTTGTAGAATAACAAAAGCATTATTTTTTATCCCTTTACCACAGATCCTTGTAAGACAACCCAATATTGTTTGTATGTTCATTAAAATAGATGCCTAAGTCATTTAATGTGTGTGTATATACATGTATGGGTGTGTTTTTTTAACACTGTTGACTATAGTGAGTTCTAGAATTCAAGGAACCTGAGATTTTCAAAATGTTTCATCTCAGAATCTTTGTTGCTATGGTGTCTCTCTTGTCCATCTACCTCCAGCCTCTGAAAGGCTTATCTTCCAACATACATGCCAGGTGTCCCATTTCTTACCCAGTCTCCTGAGAGACTTATCAATACCCTTGCCTTTTAAACATGCATAGAAAATTTTCTTGATTCTACTGCCACTTTACAGTTTTGTTTCCCTATTTTCATATGATTTCAAAGTTTTTGAAGACATATCACCTTCTATTTTTTTTTTTTTACCTATTTCCTTTTAATTTCTTTATTTGATGCTACCAGAACTATATGCTTGATAATCACTTGTAATTTCTTTCTTACTAAGCCTGTTGACCTTGGCTTATTCTTTATCTTGATCTCTGTTGTATTTGATGGTGTCAACAGCTCCATCCTCTAAATTCTTCCTTCACTGACTTATAATAATAATTTTTTCTTTTTGTTTTTTTTTTCCTCCACCAACTATGAATGGCTATGCTATAATAATTTCTCTGAACTTTCTGATGCCTTGAACGATATCCTAAACCCCTTTCCCCTTCTTTAGTCTTCTTTGGCTTTGGAATAATCAGGGTTTTCTATGTAATCTTTAAATGCTTAATGAGAACTCTTTTTCTTCTTTTTATGGTATCACCTTCACTCCCACCTTATAATGCAACATGCACAGATTCACCTCCAATCTATTATATGCATCTTGCCTTTTATTTTCTATGCCTTATTAAAGGCTACTTTCTTTAGGGCCAGATTTAAGTGCTAACCATGTCTTACCTATTTTATTATGAGTGAATGACATATCTTTTTAAATAAATTGCATACCCCTAAGCAATCATTATTTTATCATATACTACTTTGGTATATTTCTTAATACTTAGGCATTATGTGTGGTAAGGAAAATAATCACTGAAATATCATTGAAAATAATAATTGGATTCTTTTTCCTTTTAGATCCTTCTTTAGAACTCTTCCTTCTTATCCACAATTTGGATAGCCAAATGTTGAGAGGAGACAAGAGCCAGCAAATCATTGGACAGTTGTCATCTTTGCATAACATATACCTCATAGCATCTGTTGATCACCTCAATGCTCCTCTCAGTAAGTTAAATATTACTGTTTTTCTTTATTGAGTTATCAGTCTTACAAAATTAATTTTCTTAATGTTGTAAGTCATAAAATTTTTATTTTTTTTTAGTA